TTTCCAACAGTGGCTGCATTTGCACATTAGCCCAGATAGGCATTAGCCCAGATAGGCATGAACTTTATTAACTAGCCTGTAACCTGTTTGCTGCTCCCTCTATGGGAATGGATAGATTAAGCCAGCGAGCCATTAGTCACAGTCCGATTTTATGTCTAATTTGGGGACTGAGGTGAATTGCTTCCAAACAAACCAGAATTTCTAAATCCACTTTAAATCAGGATTTCATATTCTTCTTATTTGGAAGTCATTAACCACAATTTGAATGTGATCGGGAGATAATTTAGCTTGCCATCTCACTTGTGCAGAAGGCATGGAAAATACCTAGTTTTATTAAATCAAAATGTTATTGTCCAGACTAGGTCATTGATTCATTTCAACATCTTTTGAGAATGCTGAGCATCTGTTTGGCACTGAAATAATTGATTCTAGTTCTGCATGCATGTGAAGATTATTAGTATTTGGCCTCTGAAAATAAAATCCTGGGGTTGATTCCTTTTCTCCCACAGCTGAATTTAAAATTAATCATGACTGTTAAAATGTAGGGAGGAAATCAATGAGTGTGGAGAGATGAAAATTACAATCCTAGTTGCTTATGGCTTCTGTATATATACTAAAGTTATGTCAGGTTTTATGTTGTTACATGCTTGTTCTGTGTACTTCTAGCAGTGAAGTAGGAAGCAAATATTATCAGTAGAAAGACGCAAAAAGCAAAAGCAAAGCGTGCTCCTTATATACCACCCCATAGCGCTTCAAGCACTCTCTGGGCGGTTTAGCTACTCACATAGAATGTCTGCCAATTGTGCCGCCAGTCATGGTGTTGTGTATTGGTGACCTCTACCGGATCCATGCAAGGAACTCACCATGCAGGGAACATTCAGCTGTGGTGAATATGGATTGTAATGGTGTCACAAATCAGAATAGCCATATGCTGGGCTTTATGTTTTCTTTGGGGACATGTGTATGCCTGCTGTGGCTGGCTCCAGAGCTAACTGGAATCTGTATGCATGTGGAAGCTCAATGAGAGAGATGGATTAATGGGTTGTTGTTTGTTACCTTTTACTCCCCTCCCCCCTTTTTTGCTATGTATCACTACAGTATGTTGTTACTGCAAAATAACCTGTCTCTTAAATCCTATTCGAAATACAATCTAAAAATATGTAAGACTCCACAAGTGGTGATGATGCTGGGATGCAGGTGAGCCCTGCCTGCCACATCTGCACCCCACCTGGAAGTCAGTCAGACTTTTGTGTGTCCAGTGCAATGGTATCCGTAGAAGCTGCAGGACTATTTGGCTGAATGTGCTGAACTCACAAAGGTGTAACTTGCAGGTGGGATTGGGAGTGGGGTTTGTCTACATTCCCATTCGTCTCCTCCCTTTCAACCCTATATGCTTTCAAGCTTAACATCTGAACAGAGTTTTCAACCTTATTTTAAATAATCCCTTTCCTGAACTTGGAAGTGTTACCCTTTTTTTTGAATGACAACTCCCAGAATCCGCCAGCTATGTAGGAACACGGCTTGGGAAAACTGGTTTTCTGGAATGTAGCTGCCAGAATTCCTAAGGAAACAATCATGAGAGCTGGGGGATTTTGAAATAGTCTGTAAAAATAATTCCACATCACATTCATGTCCCACTCTTCGGCCATCATGCCACCCAATTCTGACTGTGAGGGTTCGTTATTAGGGGGTTCTGTCATACGCAATAAAGTATGAGACGGTTTAACTTCAACAACATGTTCTTCATTTATTAACGTTCCAACATCAACTGTAACTTCTTTGTGAACAGAGTCTAATGTCTCTTGCTGTCGAAACCTTGACTGCAAGGGTGTCCAAACATCATTAACAAATGGGTTTAGTTCGTCAAACTCCCACGGTGCAGATAACACTTTCTCTACCACCAGGGGGTCACCTCCTTCCCCTTCACCCGCTAATAACGGTAAGGTCTCTTCATCTCCGCTCCAACCCCAGAGTGGTGAACTCCCTCTCGGACTGGCCAGCCACGGTCCGGGAAGACTCCCATCTTCTGGAGCTCTGTAAGATGCCATGTCTTCTTGGCCTCGATCTCTCTCACCACCGCCTCACATTCCTCACAAAGACGGCACCTCCACTTCTTCACCTCTGGCTCTCCCCAATAGGACAGACACGGTTGTTGATCCCAGCGCCTTTGCTGTTCAGCCTCCTCATGAGGAACCTTAACTTGATCCCATTTCCCTGGGATCCTGGACCCAAACCTTTTCCCAACCACCCAGGATGTCCTCCCGCTTCTCCCTTATATCTCCTGCCCCTGCCTCTATCGACCTTTTCCCGCCAAATCTTCACCGGTTTGTACTGCCAAGTTTAACCCCTTTATTCCCGAGACCAAGTCCCGGGTATCCACCCCTTGATGTTTCTGTCCCTCTCTGTCTCTCAGCTCCTCCAGTTCTTTAGTGTCCACCTTCTTACTTTCCTTCCTAGGTGGAGAAGGCGGAGGAGAGGTCTGAGTTTCCTTAGAGGGAGATGGGAGCGACGGCACTCCCACAAATGCTTCCTGGCCCTGTCTTGGGGTTTCCCACTGGGCATGGTTAAACTATGTAACCACTGCGCCACGAGGCTCTGAACTGAAAATGAACTGAACTGAATAAAATGAACTGAAAGATGGATTGAATTCATTTTAAAGTCACATGGTAATCGTGTGGATTTTGGTTTGGTGTGTGCATCCTCTTGGGAAAACTTTTAATCCATTTTTAAACTGCCTTGTGTAATAGTTGAGGGGGCTACATGGGCTTTTAAAATAGTTGCATTTGAGGATTTGTCCTGTGCCCACCAGCCCTTGCTCTGGCTGCCTCTCACAGGTGCTTGCCACCGCTGCTGTGGTGTTATCCTATATATCAGGTATGCTAAACCTGACACATACCCAGGAGTACTTCAACTCAGGAATACTTCAACATGTTACTGAGCCCTCAGTTGCATCTGGAGTGTATATAGCAGACAAAATAAGGGCAACACATATCAGTATGCTTGCAATGTCAGTGTAGCTACTGCAGTTCTGTCAGCACAGAAGATGTTTATTAGCAACCCTCACCTAGTGGGTGTCCTTTGGAACTGGCTAGAGGGTACATCTGTCACTTCTCAGTTCCTCATAAACAACTACTGCCAAGATTTTCAGGATGTTCTGGCATTGTTTGCATTTCTATTCCCTGACATTCTTGTCCCCTGCCATGTGCGTAAATATCTGCCTCCTGAGGCTACATTCCATGCCTCTGGTGAAGTGGGCTGCAGACTATGACGGCGTTCCACAAATAAAACTTGTGTGGTTTCCTTAAATTCACAGGTACTCATTCTGTGCAGTTATTACATATCTTACATTTGTTTCTGACTTCTCCACAAATGATGCTGAAATGAATAGAACCCTCCAACAGTGAATGGAGGCCATTATTTGAACTATTGTGGTGCTTATTTTGCTAAATTCTTTGCCAGCTTGCAGTTACAATGCTTTTTGATTTTGTTACTGTTCAGTTAGTTGTGTGTAAGTGTATTTCTTTCATTTTGCAGTATTGGGTTGAATGGTAATTCAGGACTGAATTGGATTTCAGAGAGATGCTGTCTGTTACGTAGGCAGATCTTGGAAAACACCGTTGTAGACTACAGTTCCTAAAATCCCCTCGGCTGGGAGATTCTGGGAGATGTAATCCAAAACAGAACATTTCCAAGCTTTGCACTTATATGAAGGTTTTTATGGTTATCCACTGTCAGAACATGTTTTGTTGTTATGTGCCATCAAGTCAGAAACGCCTTGAAAGCTTTCATCAAGGTAAGTGAGATATTTATGGAGTAGTTTAGCAGTTCCACAGCCCTGGTGAGCTTCCATGGCTGAGCAAGGATTCAAACTCAGGCCTTCTGTCCACCTCTAATTAAAAGGTTACATATTTTTATCTGAACCACATGACCCTCTTCAGAGGCCTTCCTTTGAGTGTCTCATGTAAATATAGTGAGGCGAGTGGCTAACTCACCTTCTCTGTGGTGTCACCAAGGTTGCCAGATCTCCTCCCCAGAGAGTCTTGTCCTGCGCCTTTTTAAAAAGGTCATTTTAGTGTGAGCAAAATAGCTTAATCCCTCAGTGCCTTTAAAAATCTGTGATCTTAACTTTTAGTTCACTGTTACCTGTTATTTTGTCAAAGTAATGGTATAAACTGGCTTTACTTTTCTCTATGCTGACAATCTTACATTCCAACCTGCTTTTTACATTTCTCCTATTTTTGGTTCATGTGACTGTACTACCCAAATAATATGCTTACTCACTGTATTTTGCGATGCCATAACGATGCATAATTTTGCTCTTACTGTATGATCCCAAAGTATTCTTAATTTGGTGATGTTCAGATGCTTTCCTGTGAGAGGTTTTCTTGGTTTCTACTTTGTTGATCTCTTGGTGCAGGACAAAGGCCTTTCGCCTTGAGTTTTAAGACCTAATTTTAGTTCTAGTGGTTATTTTTATTTTTGCAGATCATGTAACCTTTCAGTTATGTTGTTATGATTATTTCAACTATTGGTATTTGAATTTTTAATTTTGTTTACATTTTGTGTAAATGAATCTGGGGAATTTTTTCAAATCGCTTAACTTTGGTAAGATTTTCCTCTATAATGTCCACATGTCTAGCAGTTAGCTTCTTTGGAGGAAATGCTTTTTTTTGGGGGGGGAGTTGATTTCCCAGACTAATGTGATACAACTATAGATTTATGGTGAGAGGTTTATTTTGGCATTCTAATGTGTTCAGAAGGGTAGCATCCACTGAGTGCTCTGGACTCTAGAGAGTAATGATGGGTGAAATTCTGGAAACACAGGACATCTGATATGCCTGGGGGATGTTACAAGCAGAGGAGTATGAAGGGAAGCCCTGGAGGTGTAAGTATGTATATTCATAGTCTGCATTAATTGATGCTATTGCATGCTGGTAATGTTGTTAAAGTGCTCTCTGACTTTGAAACTTCTCCAGTAATCACTGCCTTCTGCTTTGCAGCATGGGCGGACACCTCTCCATCTTGCGGCTTACAAGGGACATCTCCCTGTTGTCCAGATTTTGCTCAAAGCTAACTGTGATGTGGATCTTCAGGACGATGTGAGTAGTTGCAACCAAACGTTGCAACCGGTTCTCCCAGCCAGGAAAGCCCCTATTCTACTTCAGTCCTCCACCTCAGCAAGTTCCCTCTTCCCAAACAGCTTCTGTTTGGAACAAACTTTTGCTTTGGTGTTTTTTTAATTCTACAATTTTATAGGTCAGCTTGTAAGACGAGTGTGGGAGTGGGGCAGGGCAGGAACGAGGGCTAAGACGAGAGCATTGCAGATAAGTGTCTTGGAGCTTGTTTTCCGAAGCTGTCTAGGAATGTTTTTCAGATCCTTTTAGAAACACGTACATGCAGAAATAAAGATGCCATTAATGAGACAAGAGCTTCTTGTTACGCTGTCTCAGAAATGCACCGGGCGTTTCTGTGGCCCCACTTCCTCTGGAGAGTTCACATCCAGAACTGTGCTGAATTCCGCCCCAGTAAACATACGGTGTGCAAGTTGTGCTTTGCGAAGCCACACTGCCTCCTCTTCAGCCTCACTCTGCTGTTATTTTTGGCTCTGCCTCTCTTGGAGGCTGGCACTCCACCGCCACCTGCCATGGCATCATTCACACCATTCAGATGGGTGAACCCCCTTGGGGCGAGAATGTTTGCAGCATTTGTAATGCCCGGCTCCTTCCTGAGCGGAGCAGACATGCTTTGTGGCATGGCCATCCACTGTTGATTTCTGTGCCTTTTATTTATTGCTGTTCTCTACCAATCATGGGAAACATACACCATATGACAGCTCATGTTCATGGTACTAGAAGAATTATTATTTTCCTAAAACATGCACAACAGGAATCCATAAGATACTGTTGTTGAGCTCAGAGCCAAAGGTTTTGCCAGCTGCAGGGGAAAATAGCGCTCTGAGCAAACATTTCAAGTGATTTTTAACCTGAAGCCTACATCCTGTGAAAGATATACTGTACAACGTAGGCATGCTTGTTTGATCACATTGCCTTTTCCTGCAGCTCTTATCCAGTACTTTGGTTGCTATGTTTGTTAATATATAGTTGTCTTCTTTTTGTTACATTTATATTTACCAAATATTTCTGTATTCCCTTTTACTGATTGCCTCCTATGCCCTGCCTTTAATATCCCGCTGTTTTTCTAGGAAGCTCAAAGTAGTGTATCTGATTCATTTCTTTCCCCATGTTCATTGTCTCAGCATTCCAGTGGTGGCAGATTAGATTATAAAATTCCCTGTCCTAGTTGTATACATTATTGTAACCACTCTCCAAGATAGGCTGCTTATGCCAGAAGTAACTTGTTTTCAGAAAAAAGTTTTTAAGCCCCTTAACCTTACTAACATTACTTCCAGAGTTCAGAAGCCTGTTTTCCTCCTGCTGTTGTAGAATGGGCTATGAAAGTTGATAGCTTTTTTATTTTATATTCTAGGGTAAAGTCATAATTGCCCAATTGATTTCTAATCTGCCAAATGTTACATACCATAAATAAACTCTGAAGTGTTGTGGAGTGTTTAAAATGCTGACTTCATGTTCTACAGATGTTGATCGTTAACATGTTTTAAAAGACCTTATGATTAGTTGAAGAATGACTTCCAGTGGCCTTGAATGGGATTATTATGAATTTCAGCCTGTGGAGACCAGCTCTCTAGAATATGAAACCCCGAGAAGTAACTCTTTCCTTCTCCCTGCTAATCCTGCAAGCCCTTATTGGAATCCTGATGCCATCTCTGATTGGTCAATGAGTGCTCACACAGCACATACCTCAGAAATAGTCCAGGGGACAGTGGCCTTGGTAAAAGAAGTCAAGGAAGAAAAAAATAAGAAAAAACAAAGGAGAAAGGCTAGAAAAGATCCTAGAAGATTGCAAAGAGAGAAGGAGGTTAGAATTCTTAACTTCAGCGTCTCTCTGACCCCAGTTGCATGTAGCCTTTTGAATTGGCCGCCTGGCATGTCAAAGCTACTTGGAAAATGCATGGCTGCATGTCTGGCGTTATGGTGATATTTTGCCAAACGGGTTGCCTCTGTTGTATCCCACAAGAGTCCCACTAAACGTTCTGTGATATTACTGTGTCTTAATGAAATGCTTCTAGGAATACTTTGTGTAACCAAAGAGTCAAAAATGCTGGCCTGCTTTATGCAAACTCACCTGTCACGCCTGCAGTGGGAAACATACCTTTCCAGATGTTGGACTACAACTCACATCAGCCCTTACGAGCATAGACAGTGGTAAGGAATGAGGAGAACTGTATTCCTGTTAACATCTGAGGGACCATCCATTGCCAGTATCTGTTTAAGAAACACAATGGCCAGTATCCAGTGTCTTTTTACCACATGCAAAAGGGAAATTGTGGAAGTGGCATCAGCTAATTGGAGAGATGCCAGTTGCATATGGAGTACACAGCCGGGCATGGGACAAGCAATTAGCAATGTCTGCCTGCATGATTTCCCTGCTGTTTGTGGTATAACAGAACAGGATACTGGACAAGGTATGTGAGGGTGATTTCATGGAAGATGTTTTGTTGACTCTCTTCATTGGTCACTGTGTTGCTTCATGGAACTTTGAACTCATCTGAACAAAGATAATAAACCTGCTGTGATGTACCTAACTGTGTGTCTTGGAATTAAACAGAGATTAGTCAAGTCTCCAGATTTTGGGGGTGGAAAAGCAGTGCATCTTATATTTCCTACAGCACTGACTCAGTCCTTGAACAGATAAACAATTCAGAGCCTGGGTTTAGGCCTGGCATACCATTCTTAAAATAAAGAAGCTTGCTGGATTTTTTTATGCTTCTTTATCCCAAATTGCACAGTGTGGCAAGATGTTGGATGGTGGGAATTATTAACAGACAGGCCTTTAGTCTCAAGGATGAGTGAAGAAGTTAAGGAGTTCTAGTCAGGAGCTAGAGGGCTACCTTTCAGGTTCCTGATGACAAAGCATTGTGTTCAAGTGCTCACTTGTTCACCAGGTCGTCCTGCGTGGGTTTAGCACAGGGACCTTTGCCAGTCTTGCCTACGTATAACATAGTTTCAACATTACATCATTGAAGAGGGGGATGATATCTTTCTTTGTGGTCTCGATGAACACACGCCAATGGGCGGTTCTACACGTGCACAGAACAATTTGGAACCTTCAAAGGTTGAGCTGGAGTATTTGGGTGGGGGCTTTGCCCCTAACTGGAGTGCGGTCCACCCTCTCTGCCTCGTTTATCTCAGTTTCCTTTTCCCTGACATTTGCTGCAGATGACTTGGAACTTCTCTCTTCTCAGGTCACTGAGCTCCTGTGAAGACAGTCATCACTTGAAAATATTTGTAGATAGTTACTCCCTTTCATTGCAACCCCCCACCCCTTTTATTATACTTGACTCCCTTTGAGTGACACCAGTCCTGCGGCTGGTGCTGCCACCCCTTTAATAGTGCATGGTATCACAACCCTTTAAGAAGTGTATCTCCTGCTGTACTAAAATCCCTCAATCTAGCCAACCCTGTTCCTACTTTTTCTAGGAGAGACAGATAACACCCAGGCCTGCAAACATTGCAACGCCTTTACTGACCAGGGGAGAAATAATTAAGAGGTCGAGAGATTCACAAAATCTCATGGGTAAAGGTGGTCTTTGCCTTGGATTTCTTAATCAGACATCTGTCTAGTCCACACCAATCACTCCTAAGAAGCCTGTTATGGCATCCACTTCGACATCAGTATTGGAATCAACTCATCCAGCTCAGGCCACTTCAGTTCTAACACTTGCAAGACTGTCCACCTTGTCTCTCACTCTGCCACTGAATGGAAAACAACTACCTCCAGTTCAGACACAGAGCATAAAAAGAATAAGAGACATAAGGAGAAAGCTAAAGATTTGCTGCTAGTGCCAGAGGGGTGTCCAGTAGGTTCTTTGCTTCCAGCACAACACTTTCATCTAGACAAGTTAGTTTTTGACCCTTCTCCATCTCCATCCCCAGCATCGGTCCTGGAGATAATTCTTGAACTGTTCCCGGAACATCAACAACTTGAACTCCTGTTGGTTGGTACCAACGACTTACCTCCTACCTTCACATCCTATTTGGAGGGTGAGATATTGTACTCCACACTGTGACAAACCCAGACCTACTGGGATATGCCACAGTTTCACTAAGCTGCCACCAACCATTCCCTATAAGAAGTCACACAGACCAGGGATGGATTTTCAACAAATAAAGGAATAAGGTTTATTTAAATACAACACACAGGGAAAATAAAATAATCAGGTGAATAAGATAAAGTAACGTGGCTTATTCTCATTCATACATGCATACAGTTTGGTTCACACAGAACCCTTAACTTGAAGCACAGACCCTGAACCTATCAGTTCTGGCTAACCAACAGACACCTGAACCTATCAGGTTGGTACTCTGACACACAGTAGTACCCTGTCTGACACACAGACTCCCACACCAGCTTCTTCTTCCCAGCTGCTGCTTCTTCACATCCCAGCGTCTCCACTTCTCCACACACGCATCACATATATATACAGTACAGCCCCTCCTCCTGATGTCCCGCCTTCCACTCCCCATAGGATGGAACTTTCCCTCCAAACCCATGACAGACAGGTAACATCAGTGCTGTATGTAACACACACCACCGACTGAACCTGCTGCCTCTCTTGCACAGCCAACCATTATCCTTCCAGATCACTCTTCCCCAGTGAGCCATTCTAGATGCGGCCTCTCTATGGGCCACACATTTTGGTCACATTCGAGATCAAGGTCTGCACCAAGAGTATACTCACCAGAGCCCATCTACTCCCATAGCTCCACTTCTACTTGTGTCTAGAGACAATATTATGGAGATAGGCACCACTACTGAGGCTCTTGCTCCTCCTCTTATGTGTGGCACCAAGCTTCCCCATGTTGATATGGCAGCTCTTACCTGTGGGCTTCATGACGATGACTGTCGCTGTTACCATACAAGGCCACCTTCACAATGTTCTCAAAGCCAGTCTTGAGAACAGAAGCACCATAGCTATACCTGTTTTACTGCCACCTTAACCCATCCCACATAGAGGCTTGCAGGCATCTCTGTGGCCCCCACCTGTTCAAGCCACTGATCCTTTGGTACATGCTGCACCATCTCTAACCCTAGCCTCATATATACTACAGTTCGCCCGGTTGGTATTAGCACCACTACCAGATGCTCAGACTCAACAAGTCTTACCACTCAATCCGCCCATTTAACCAGCAACAGTTTCAATCCCTATCCACCATCCTTGCCAGTCTAACCACTCAATAACGACCTTGATACTGGTCTCTATACTGAAACCTGCCTCCCCTCTCAGATATTGCTGTCTTTATAGTGGACCGAAACTGAGACCAACAAGGCAGAGAGGGTGGGCCACACTCTAATGAGGGGGGAGGACCCCTGCCAAAATGCTCCAGTTCAGCCCTAGAAGACTCTGAGGTGTTCTGCACATGTGCAAAATAGCCCATTGGTATGAGTTCATAGATGACCACTCAAAGAAACACAGTTACAGATAAGCAACCTGTCCATTAACCATGACCACTTTTCCCTCACAGAAGCACATGGTACAGTCATGTCTAAACAGAGGTGAGGGACTAGAACCATAATTCTTTTTTTTTCTTTTGAGAAATCCTCTGCTCCTTTTTTTCCTCTTTTTTCCCTTTTTGCTTCCAGAGAGGTAATTCTCCGTACAAGTCACAGCAGTCTTAGTGCGCTACCCTGTATCCATACTTCCATGTAATCTGCAAGTTTGTGCAGGTCCTCCAAGAGCTCAGATGAGGCCTGGGCCATTTCACATTTTGTGGTTCCCTCACTGTTTGGAATAGTGATAAAAATAATTTAATATAAAGAATAGGATTTATCAATAGAGCGCATGGCCATATGGTTTTATTTCTCTTCATCTTCAGGCCGAGGTGAGGTCCCCTCTTGTGAGGTGAGGCCCAGGCCAAAGGGCCATTTTGTTCCCTCACTCTTAAAGGGCCTGAGTGTGTGTGTGCATGCTCATGTGCACAGTGGACCAACACACCAACCTATATTAACACACCTGTCTGCAACAGCCAAGGGAAGTTGGCCTAGATAGCTATTCTGTAATGCTTTTCTGCCCTGATGTTGGCTGAATTTCAATTAGCCTCTCTTATTGTGGCCCTGGAAACTTTGTGACTTCAGATTCCTTTTAATTGGAGGGAAATGTTTCCCAGAGCAGATGCTGTCTTTCGAAAATGCCAGCATGTTTAATAAGTCCTTTAATGAACTACATTAGTTCTTCTTGTTGCTGTCATTCTGCCCTAATTAAAATAATGGTTACAACAAAATTCTATCCAGTGGGTGAGCAAAACAGTCCTTTGCTGTGAAATAATTGTTGGTTTGATGGCTGTTGTGGGTTTTTTGGGCTCTTTGGCCGTGTTCTGAAGGTTGTTTTTCCTAACGTTTTGCCAGTCTCTCTGGCCGGCATCGAGGACAGGAGTCAGAACTTTGTCTGTGTCTGTCTGTTCTGACTCCAGTCCTCTGAAGATGCCGGCCACAGAGACTGACAAAACGTTAGGAAGAACAACCTTCAGAACACGGCCAAAGAGCCTGGAAAACCCACAACAGCCATCAGATCCCAGCCATGAAAGCCTTCCAGAATACAAATTGTTGGTTTATTTCTTTGTATATGCAACAATCGACTCTTGAACCCTGTCTTGTAGAATGCTTTGAGTTCAGATGATCAGATATCACTATAGTCTTCTTTTGTTCTTATACATTCCAGTGAAAAGAATATACATTACACCTTTTTATCATTTGGAATTAGGAATACCCTGGCATCATGAAATATAAATGGTCAGTCCCTCCTATTGTTGATGCCTATCGCTTGTGAAGCACCCAGTGGCCACGTGCAAAAGAATGTCTCTAATCATTACTAAAATTATACGAAGTTTTCATTTTATAAAAAGCTCTTTGGACAAATGGTCCATTAAAATTTCATTTTGCTCCTCAAATGTGGATTCTGGTGCTTTTAAGACCTGATTTATTTATTTTTTTACCATAGTTAAAGGGTGTTGTGTTTCTTTACAAATGTTCCATATACGTTGTTGCTATGTGCTGTCAAATCACCCCTGACTGGTGGTGATGCTGAATGAGTGATCTCCAAAATGTCCTGTCCTATTTGGTCTTCCTCTTTTCCTGCTGCCTTCTACCTTTCCTAGCATTGTTGTCTTTTCCAGTGAATCCTGCCTTCTCAGGATGTGCCCAAAGTAGGGCAGCCTCAGCATCAAGACTTTTGCCTCCAGAGATAGTTCAGGCATGATTTGATCTAGGACTCACTTATTTGTCTTTCTGGCCTTCTAGGGTATCTGCAAAGTTCTTCTCCAGCACACCATTTCAAGCAAATTATTTTTTCCCTGTCAGCTTTCTTCACTGTCCAGCTTTCACATACTCACTTACAATCCCATTATAATCTATCTTTAAGAATAACATACTGGAAAGACATGATATTTTTCACTCCTGGCTGCTTATTCCTAAATAAGAACCTTAATTAGTGAATGTGTGAGAATAGCAAGTTGGATGAAAAGAAAATCTGGCTACTGTGTAGAGCAATTGTAGCTAATTGGATGTTAGAGCACATGCTTTGCATGTATAAGGTCCCAGATTCAATCTTTGGCATCTCTAGTTAAAAGGGTCAAGTGATGGCCTGAGGCTGTGAAGAACTACTGCCAGTAAGAGAAGATGATTTGAGTTACTTGTCTGACCTGATAGAAGGCAGCTCCTTATTCTCCATTCAGCCTTTTCTTTCCTTTATACCCCCATGAATCTCACTGGTTCCATTCCTTAGGCTTCTCTCTCCTTTATTTATCAGTGACATATCCCCTTTGCTTGATTTAAGCCCAAGCAGCTTCAGAAATGAGATCTGGCTTGTCAGGCTCTGTTGAACAACTTTAGGCATTTTTTCCTATTGAAAGTGCGTTATGAGTGTTAGGGAATAGAACTTCCTAAACAAAAAGGTATGTTAACTTTGGTAGAAAAGGGGACTTGAAAAGAGAACCTAAAAACATAAAGTCAGCAATCAGAAAGAACATATGAGGAATAAAATTGTAAAAGAAGTTGAGAAATCTATGTACTGTATAACCATATTCATTTTAAAAAAGCATGTTGACAATAAGGGTAGGAACAATATGCTCAGTATTAAAAAGGCCACAAAAAGGAAGTAGAACACACAGTGTTTGTTGGAAAGCTCCTTTCTACCCTTTGTTCAAGTCTCTCTGGAGATTTTTCTCCTCTGTCATAAAACAAGTGCATATGAACGCAGCACGTGCATGTTCAAAGCATGTGCAAAGCAATTATTATTATTATTATTATTGGCATAAGTGAGCAATTTTGCAGTGGAATGACTGTTTAGTCAGTGTTACAATTTAGCTTGCCAGATTGTATTAATCAGGTAAAACTGCATTTGGAGAGTTGCAACTTAATCTATTTTTTTAAAGAGTCTGTGTTTGGTTGACTGAGCATATGTGCAGTTGTGTGCCATTTGACTGCATTGTTGATGTGCTATGTGATTCATAACAGATGCTGCAAACTTGGCTCTAGTTCTTTACTAATTTTAATTCTTTCACACAGCCATACATACATTCTAGTTAGCTGTACATTGGCTGTATAGGGAGCTTCTCTCGGCTGATTTTGCTGCATCTGAGAGCTGCATGATACATTACAGACAGAGCGCATCTTGAAGGCGAAAGCATGCTGGCCTTTGAGAGATGCAGTCTGGCAGATCATTGTCTCAGAGGTAGAGATGAGCACAAAGTGCTTTGTACCCCCTTCATTGTAAGTCGTCTCCGCAGCACTCCAAGGCAGCACTGCAGGAATTCTTGCCTCGCCTCCTTGTTTGAGTCACCTTGCCAGCTGCTGGAGGAGGCAGAGAAGGGAAATCCAGGTTCCTGCCAGAATTGGCAGATCACACACTGGGATGTGCAAACCAGCAGGCCAACGGGAGGGGAAGGGGAAGGGAATGTGCAGCAGCTGTGCTGCCACGCAGATGACTTACGACAAAGGGGCACACAGTACTCAGTACTTCGTGCCCACCTCTAGTCTGAGTAGTCACACTGGCAAACAGTTACTTGGTTATCTCCCCATAATAGTCCCAAAACAAAGTAAGCTAGTCTGCAAGCTATATGAGAGGTGAAAAGCTAGTTTTAAGGAACTTCCACTTCTGTCTGGCTGACTCTTGCCTATAGTCTGACTGAAAGGGCTGGATATGTGATGAACTGACAGTGTTACTTCCTTGAATGGTCCCAGAACACTTAAGTCTACTGATCAGGCTAGACATAAAAAAGTGTCAGCTAGAACTTTATCAGAAAAGACATATGAAATCTGTGGTAACATGTATATGTGTGTGTATGTGTGCGTGTTTGTCTTTATGTACAATATGTCTGTGCACACACCCAATGGCTTACCCTTTCAAAATCATAATCTCCTACTGGAAAATGAGGGTGGCTTCGAATGTTGCTCCTGCTGTAAGAAAAGCAAATGTGTGAGATTTCTGTTTGCTAATATGAGAACATTAGTGTCTGTGATGTACATTTTATGCACAGTTTGGAAAATTGGGGTTGGGGGTGGACTATGACTTCCTGAATCCCCCAGATAGCATGGTGAGTTCTGGAAGTTACAGTGAAAAATAAAAATTTAAAAATGTAGCTTTTTCAGATTCTAATTTTGTTTTCACACATTATAACCGGCACTTTGCTTGTATGCCTTTTTGAAATGGAAGTGATTTCCATGTAGGAAAGGCATAAATATGAAATGGGTGTAACTGTTAATATATATATATATATATATATTGACAAACCAGAGTCTACAGATATGCATAATATATTTGCATGTATATTTATGTAGAGTTGGAATGCCAAAGCATGTTAGTAAACCATTTTCTCTCTCTCGCAGGGTGATCAGACAGCTTTGCATCGAGCTGCAGTGGTAGGGAACACAGATATAATATCAGCGCTTATCCGTGAAGGGTGTGCTTTGGACAGGCAAGACAAGGTAAAGAGAAAATGCACACACTGGAAACAATTGTATTAGGCTGTTATCTCTGAAGGAAGGCCTTCCAAACTTTTTCTGTGTCATTTGTGATGGAAATTGCTAATCAGATATAATTTGATGAAAAGGATGCATCATAAACTTTGAGTATTGCAGCAAATTCAATAACATAATGTATAGTTACTCCTTTGACATTTTTGTTATCATTGATCAAGGTGCAATAGGCTTTCATGTACTATTATAAATGTTGGCTAACTTTGTTGCTCTCTTGCTCAGCATTGGGTTACTCAAAGCTGATATGTCATTATTTGGGGAAAAGCCATCTATGGCTACAGCATATGTAGAATTACCCATGTCTTAACTGTGGTTAAAAACAAATTAAGCCCATACAGCAAGCCTCACCTGCTTTATGCAAAATGAAGCTAAGATAATTTATACGATCCCTCCTGTAAAGGACTCTGTAGACATTTCCAATGGGAGGTCTGCCTGTCTCATGGAGAGAGTGGAATCAGGGAATCTCGCTGAAATGTACAAGGCAATATACTTGAGAGACGGATTTCTCTTCCTGTGTTTTGGTCCATGGGGTCATGAAGAGTCGGACACGACTTAATGACTAAACAACAAAGAATTTTTGACTAGAAGGTGACAGCTTGCTAAAATTCATGCCTTGCTATGCCTGTTTCTTCCTTTTAAAAATATAATTCACTAATGGACTGACTGGTGGAAAGGAGTGAGATACAAGTAAGAAAATTAGTACTTTACATTTGTATTTACTGAGAGAAAAAGAGCCCCACTTGTGTCAATAAAGGCTTTCATTTCCTTTTTCATTTCATTTTCTGTGGGTTGGCCAGTATTCTTTTACTTATAGATACAGTTCACTAAACTGCTGATTGTCTATGTCTGTTCTTCAGGATGGGAACACCGCTCTCCATGAAGCCTCTTGGCATGGATTCAGTCAGTCAGCCAAACTGCTTGTTAAAGCAGGAGCAAATGTTCTGGCCAGAAACAAGGTAAGATGTGTGCAGAAAGGAGTTTTCAGATTTGGTTGTTCAAAAAAGGAAAATAAACAATGTTAAGTGACAGTTATTCCTTCGTTAGTTTCTGATAGTGTTGTTACTTGCCAGAGCGCAATGTATTTCATAGTAAAACTCTTCTATATCATTTTTATGGACAATGACTTTATGAGTGTATTCTTGCATGAGGATGCTCCCATGGAGAAGCATGTATAGTTTGATAAGTGACCACACACAAATAAGAGATAAGTTGTACTGAATTTTGGGGGAATATTGGAAGGCCTTCTAGCATGTGGTATGAGAGGGATTCATTCTGTCAGGTGTGTGGAAATTAGGAAAATGGCAAATTAAGAGGATCAAATACACAAACTGCAAAACTAAGGGGAAATGCCATCCCGCCCCAATATTTTCACACTTGAGACGTCAAGATAACATTTTGTATTTCTTTGTGTTCCTTCTCGCTCTTCTGTATTATATTGTGTGATTAGAGTTTTGAAAAAGGGCTGGGCTAGGAGGCAGGGGAAATCAATATATTTTCTTTCCAGGTAGATTAGATAGAGATGACAGATAAAGATAACTAAGTGGATGGATGGATACTGTAAAGGTGAGATGAGCGGAAAGCATAGAGAATATGGGAGAACAAATGAGAGAGAAGAATTTTTTTTAAGTAAAGCTTACATACAACATTGGCCAAAATCCTCTTGCAGAACTTATGCTGGCATAAGGGAAATGATGTTACTTGCAGCACTTCAGCACTTCATCCAACAGAGTTTCTTTAATTAGTGGCTGGTAATTAGAGTCCCTACTGTGATCTCTCATTGTGTGCGAGTTGGGAGGCTTCATCATGATCCAGCTTGGCTTTTGGATCATATACTAAGCTACCTGACTTGTATACAATACAGTACTGAAGTGGGGACTCTAATTAGCAGCTGATGATTAAAGCATCCTGCTTGGATACTGAGTTACACTGCTGCTGCAGGTGACGTCATTTCACCCATGCCAATGCAAGTTACATAGATCTACTACGCCATCTTGATCTTGTCTGATTTTGTAAGCCAAGCAGGATCACACCAAGTTACTACCTTTTTTGGGAGAAAAGCAGGGCAAATAATTGATCCTCATGGAGAGAGCTAGGGAATGGCAGCTCCCTATGTTCCTATATATTAGTAAAGGAGGATGTGGTAACAATAAAAGGTAGGTCTTTAACAAACATATTTTGTCTGACAAAAGATGGACGCAGAAATACCAGAGGAGAAGGTGTCATCTGCAGGACTTTTTCTCTCACAAAGCCATATTGGTGAACTATCTGTTGAAAAATGCACAGAGCAAACCACATTTTTAAGTGCTGCACAGCAGAAAGAGAAAGAGAAGGAATAACTACAGAAAGTTGAAATGCCATTTGTCAGTAAGGTATGAGAAAATTATGGGGGACAGACTGCAAGATGTCTCAAGGTGTAGCCATTAATTTAGTTTGGAAGTGCTCAGGGTGTCAACCCACTGCATTTATTTTTTTTAAAAAAATATTTTTGCACTTTATTCAGGTTTTAAAGAACTGCTGTGCTTTCTACAAGGGAAGGCTAGTTTAAGGGAAATTGAGTGAATTGTAGCTTTAAAGTCACATGATCTATCTGGTCATTGGGAGACAGGATCTGGTGGGGGAATGGACTGTGGAAGAGGGAACTAAAAGCTTCTTGATGTATGTCCTATATCACATAATATGTAACTGGGAAGAAGTAAGTAAGGTTTTTCTGTTGTTAAAATCCCAAAAATGTCTCAGTGGGCCATAAAAAAGAAAAGAGGAAGAAAGTAAGAGGTGTGATCTGTACAATGCAAGTTAGCTCATAAACACGAATGTACCATTTGTCACATTAACGGTATCTTCTTTAAAGATGACAAGTGTTCTTCCCCTCTCTTTCCTAAGGCAGGAAACACATCGCTGCACTTGGCTTGTCAAAATAGTCATTCTGAAAGTGTTCGGGTCCTGCTGCTTGGAGGTTCTCGGGCTGATATCAAAAACAATGTGAGTGTTACAAGTCACAGTTATACGTATTTACGTGGAGGGGGGGATCAGTTGCAGTATGTGATTAGACAGAAGTAGTATAGAAGTGCCACTTATTTACTTAATCAATCAATCCATCCATCCATCAATCCATTAATTAATTAAATTACACTTATCCCGTTTGGTGGACAAGCCACTAGTTTGGGTGGCTTCCAAGAAATAAGAAAAATCTACAGCAATTTAAAAACCTATAAAACAAAAGCCCCTTTGGTGAACCATGGGCAGGCATAAACTCACTACAAAATTAATATTACAAAGGGGTGAAGTTTGTGAAAGCCTCGGTAAAAAACCTTTTTAGCTGATCAAAAGTCTTACCAAAAGAGGACCAGCATTCACACTCTAGTGCAGCCAGAAAGAATGCTTATAAATAAATAGAGGTATTATATATGTATAATCTGTTTATGAGGAAAATACAGAGCATCCCATTGAATTACAGTTGGAAACCGAGTGGGCCATTGGGACCTGAGAAGATGATGTATCCCTCACTATCCCATGTCATTAGCCAGATGTCCAACATGCAGTGACACCTGTCCATGTTCACTCAGATGTGTTCCATGATGCTTTTTCCAAGTTAAATACGTGTAGGATCATAGCTTTAATGAGGAACATCACATTAGCTGAAGCTTTCTTACTGTGCTTTGCATCCCCTCATTTTTTAGGCAGGAGATACCTGTCTGCATGTCGCAGCTCGTTATAATCATTTGCCCATCATTAGGCTGCTCCTCAGTGCTTTCTGTTCTGTCCATGAAAAAAACCAGGTCAGTGCATGAATTTCATTGCCATTATGTTCTGCTCCTTGTGAGACTTTCTAGGTGGAAGCAATTTCAATATTTAGAATAGACAATATGGGTGTTGTATGCTGAGGTACCTAGAAAACTGTTGAAGTGCTTCCATTTCAGGTTTTTGTGTTGTTGTACTATAGATGTTATTTTGATATCAAGAAGGACATTAGGGAAATATACCTTCACTTTCTCATGTCAGAATATGCTGCTTTCATTTATTATTCATGCCTCCCTCAAAATCTTTCATCTTGCAAAGTAAAAGTTGCAACATGGATTTTGAAAAATTTTAAGATAATCCAGGGTGGTCCTTTAAAATTTTAATCATACAGCTTTTTCAACTTTACAGAGTGAAGCTGAAAAAGAATACTAAAAGTATTGTAGCACCAAAATATAATCTAAACCACATTCATGATGACTTTAAAATCCACATAAAGAATAGATTTGCAGTACTAAACTCAATTGACCATGAACCAGAAGAACTGTAGGTTGAAATCAGAGATATTATCAGAGAAGAATGCAAAAAGACAATTCCTGTAGTAAAAAGAAAAGAAAAACTTAGATGGATGATGGAAGAAACACTCAAAATTTCAAAGGACATATGAGAAGCAAAAGTAATGGGTGGCAGAAGCAGTGTCAGAACCCTAAATACAGTTTTTCATCAACTGTCACATAGACTCAAAGAGAACTACAACAAATACCAGTGCAAAGAAACAGAGAACAACAAAAGGGGGAAAACAGGGGTTCTTCCAGAAGATCAAAGAAATCAAAGGGGAAAGTAAGCCTAGACTAGGAATGCTGAAAGACCAACAGGGAACCTGATCAGGAGAAAATAAAAAGAAGATGGAAACAGTATACTGAAGATCTCTACAGAAGGGAGAGACTCCTTTGAAAATGAAGCCAATGATGAAGTACTTGCGGTTCTAGAAAGTGAAGTACTGTAAAAGCTGTTCTGAAAGCATTAGGAAGTAATAAATCACCAGGGGTTGATGGAATTCCAGCAAATCTGTTTCAAGCCACAGAGAATTAATCTGTCAAAATCCAAACAAGAATATGTCAACAAATATGGAAAACAAAACAATGGCCCACAGTCTGGAAATGATCAATATACATTCCAATCCCTAAGAAATGAGATGCCAAGGACTGCAGTAATTATAAGGATCATTGCTTTAATTTCTCATGCAAGCAAAGAGATGCTCATGGTCCTGCAACAAAGGCTTTTACCTTATATGGAGCGAGAAATGCCTGATGTTCAAACTGGATTTCAGCAAGGAAGAGGCACTCAAGATCACATTGCAAATATCCACTGGCTGCTGGAGAGTATTAAAGAATTTCAGAAGACTAATCTATGCTTTTACAGCAAAGCCTTCGAGTATGAAGATCATGAGAAACCATGGCTTGTTCTGAAAGAAATGGGTGTGCCTCAGCACCTGATTGTCCTGATGTGTAATGTGTATTGTGGACAAGGAGCTACCATTAGGACAGAATATGGAGAGACCCTGTAGACAAATGTTTCAGACAAGGGTTCATTGTATCTCCTTATCTGTTAAGTCTGTATGCAGAACATATCATATCGAAAGCCAGACTGGATTCAGACGGAGGAGTGAAAATCGTTGGAAGAAACATTGATAATTTAAGATATGCCGGTGACACCATTTTACTGGCAGAAAGCAGCAATGACTTGACAGTTAGGGAAAGTGGAAAAAAAGAAGTGCCAAAGCAAGATTGAAGCTGAATAGTAAGAAGTAAAAAATCACGACTACAGAAGAACTACACAACTTTAATGTTGACAATGATGAAATTGGAACAGTTAGAGATTTTAAATACTTTTATATACCAATCCAAATGAAGACTGCAGCCAAGAGATCAGAAGAAGAATGTGATTAGGAAGGGCACCAATGAAGGAACTACAAAAGATCATCAAGTATAAGGATGTGCCATTGGAGACCAAGGCCAAGATCATCCATACTTTCGTAGTTCAAATTGCTATATATGCGTGTGAAAGCTGGACAGTTAAGAAAGCTGATAGGAAAACAATTGATTTGTTGGAAATGTGGTGTTGGAGGAGAGCTTTCTAGATTGCCAGAAAAAGAAACAAGTGGGTCCTAGATCAGATCAAGTGAACTATCTCTTGAGGCAAAAATGTTGAAGCTGAGGCTGACCTACTTTGGCCACATCATGAGAAGACTGGATTCTCTGGAAAAGAGAAAGATGGAAAGCAGCAGGAACAGAGGAAGACCAAATATGAGATGGGCTGACTCCCTAAAAGAAACAACGGGTTTGAGTCTGCAAGAGCTGAGCAGGGTGGCTGAGAACAGAAATTTTCGTGAGCGCTCGTTCATAGGGTTGCCATGAGTCTGAGGCAACTTGATGGCACATAACAACAATCATACAGCTTTGATTTAGAACAAAACAAACAACAATCTATTGCTATCCTTTGCTGTGAATGCAGATAATGTTATACATAAGGATAGATTAGCATATGGGGAAAATTGCTAGTTCCCTTCCAAGATTTGTTCCATGACCAGCAACACAGATGTAGAGTGCCCTTTACTCACTTCTGTGCCAGTAGCATAGTGAGCTGAGGCTGGAAGAGAATTCTAGTGAGATAATATTATTCCAGCTTGCATAGCAGAGATGGAACATTGCAGCATATGAGCACAATAACATTTTATTTTGCGATGTATACAGGAAAGACCTCTTGAGAAAATACTTGGGTATTCATAACCATCACAATAATGAATGCCTAAGGTTAATGTCCCATTGCTTCCTTGCATAAGTTGTGTAACTGAATTTTAGAGCCATATTGGACTATATTACTTCCATTTTGTTCCTTAAACTGTTTTAAAATAGTCATATCTATTTGTAAACAATATTAAATTACCCTTTATCTAAGCAATTTAGTTTTGTTTTGGATAGTCTGGCTTTCTGCTTCTCAGCCCTTTATTGTATACTCATTTGCACTGAATTAAACAGACCTGGATTGTCTGAAGGAATCTAAGAAGCTGTGAGCAGCTTTACATTTTTGCAGTTGATCTGACAAGCATTGGCTATGGCTTCCATCGGATTCCTTTAGAATATATGACATTCTCATAGATAATATTTTCCATTCCATAAAATCCAAAAGGAACTGCTTGAGTTTGTTTGTTTGTTTGGTATACATACAAACGTTGCACCAACAGGATGGTGTTGTCTATGAAATCTCAGGTGCCACGTACCAATTGCATTCTGCTTTTGTAAATTCCAGGCTGGTGATACAGCACTTCATGTAGCTGCTGCACTAAATCATAAGAAGGTTATCAAACTGTTGTTGGAAGCAGGAGCTGATGCAACAGTAGTTAACAATGTAAGTGCTGAAGAAAATTATCTTCCTCTTTCTAGTTACACGTATTCTCTGCTGAGTGTTTTCTGAGATGGTAATTTTGACAAAATGAATGTCTGGTAATGTTATGTGTACATACTATGAGCTTTCAAATGCAGGTACCTGTTGGTACCTTTTAACCCCTTCCCCCTTTTAATACCTTATGAAGAGATCCATTTTATGTTTTTCTGTTACAGGCTGGTCAGACACCCCTTGAAGTTGCCCGAGAGCACAACAATCCTGAAGTTGCCCTTCTGCTTACTAAAGCCCCCCAGGTACACCTTGAATGTAACTTATGGAAAGCTGATCTAGAAGCATAGCCAATCTGGAATAAATTTCTCCCACAGAGCTGAAGTTGGTGATGTATTCCAGATCTTGTCAAGCATGGACTTGTTGATAGGAGGTTGGATCCAGATAAAAGTCAAGAGCAGAACCCCTTGAAAATCAGTGGCTCTTAAGTTAGACATTATTTCTGTGGATCAACATGATTAAACATGGGGACGAATATTAAAATGAATCAGGATATTCATTAACTATCCCTGATTCATCAGATATTTGTTGCTTCATATTCTTGGGGTCCAAAGACCCCAACGAATACGAAGCAATAAATCTAACCCTTTTATATTCTTCCCTTCGTTCCCTATCTGCTTATGTCCCCATGGAGCAGCTGTTCGGTTTTCCCTTCGGGCGGCTTGCTAAAGCCTGCCTGAAGGGAATCCCACTCCTGGGGCTGGGGCATGGCTTGGTTCCCCTTTCCTCCTCTTGCTGTGCCTGCACAGCATAAGGAGAGAAGAGATCAAAGAGGGATCAAAGGGATCCCCCAGCCCACCACTGTAGGATCGCTTTGATCCCTGCTTTCCCTCCTCTTGCTATGCCATGAGGGGCACAGCAAGAAGAGGGGGAAAGGGATCAAAGAGCTGCATGATCGCTTTGATCTTTGCTTTCTCTCTTCTTGCTATGGCCTGTGGGACACAGGAAGAGGAAGGGGAAAGGGATCAAAGCATTGCATGATCACATGGGGCACAGCAAGAGGATGGGAAAAGGGATCAAAGTGCTGCGTGATTGCTTTGATCCCTGCTTTCCCTCTTCTTGCTATGCCCTGCGGAGCACAGCAAGAGGAGGGGGAAAGGGATCAAAACACTGCACAATCGCTTTGATTCCTGCTTTCCACCCTCTTGCTATGCCCCATGGGGCATAGCAAGAGGAGGGAAAAGAAGGGGGGAAAATGACCCGGCAAATGGTGAATTGATTCATTGTTCATCAGGTCACTGGGGGGCAATTTGTGGGTCGTCAAACCGTTTTGGTGCTTCCTCCCCATCTCTAAACATGATCTAAAGAACTCAATCAAAATATAATTCAACCTGGTTCTAACTCACACATTTTAGCATGCAGATAAACTAGTGCTAAGATATGTTTCTGCTTTAAAAAAATACATTACTACCACTACCACACCAACCCCTCCATACTCTCTACCTACCTGCCCACACTCGCACACTGTGCTGTTTTGTTCTCCAGTGTGTGGTGCAGCGACTTCAGGTATTGCAGTCTCTGTTCATTATAACATTTTGCTTTAAAATAGTTGTTTCTACCTTCTAAGAAGCAGCAGCAGATATTTTACACTTTCACTCTCTGTAATTGTACTGTACCAAAATGACAGGATTATGATGAGCTGGAGTCAGAATTAGTCAGGCTTCAGGAAGAGTTCTTAAAATGGGTTGGACTTAAGTCCCACTGATTTTAATCAATCTGCTCAAAGTACAACAGAGGTTGTGATCACACAAGGAAGCAGATTGCATTTTGGACCACTTGTGGGATGGGCTGGTGTGATCTGCTTCCCAGCAGTCACATGACATCCCGGGAATTGTGCTCCAACTAAACCTTGATCCGTACTTGCAGAGCTATTACTGTTGTAAAGCTACTACTATTTAGGGCTGGCTAGAGTGATTCTATGACAGATGGACGGGTCTCTTTAAGAGAGATTGTTCTTTCCAAACCAACATTTTTCAATGTAATCAGATGTGCTACTTTCCTACTGTCAAATTGCACCCAAAGGTGGAGTGTTAACAGTAAGATATTAATTGGAAACATTGCCATCTGCAGATTTCACGCTTTAATCGTGGAAGGAGTCTAAGGAAGAAGAGGGAAAGGCTCAAAGAGGAAAGGCGTGCTCAGTCTGTACCAAGAGATGAAGTGGTACAAAGCAAGGTAAAACCAGCTTTGTATATTTAGAAGGTAAGGAATGTGGTCTGAATGCTGTAAAGCTCTCTAGCTCTTGAGAGTATTGGAATTTTCCAATGGGAAGGTCATATTCTGTGTTGCTGTGCTGTAAGTGCTGAGAGCCAAAATGTTAGTACTGTTTGGAACTGAGTGGAACTTGATGAGGACTTTTCTGAGGGCAAACACCCTTGTTTTCGTGTGCTTCTCTTTGGAAACAGGGCAGCGCCTCAGCTGCTGATGACACGCACAGCAGTGACCAGGCTCCTCAAGGGAGAGGTGACTTGAAAGAGGACCCACAACTGCCCTTGTCTGAGCTCAGAGGAAGGAAGAGTAAGAAGAAGAAGCCAAGAGAAAAGGTACTGCAGGTATCAAATAGGAGAGGGGGACAGTTTTGTTTCATGTAGTGCATCCCTTCTCCTTTTCACCTGTCCCTACTTTTGTTGACTTGTGTACAGACACTGAGCCCCCTATTGTAGGTTTAAAGAGACAGTCACAAATCTAGACTCAGGGTTGGTTTTTGTTACTTTTTTTGTACGAGTTAAAAGCAATATGTAAGGTAGGTTTGGGCTGTGCAGACTTTATAAATACAAGCTTTCTGGTTTTACCCATTTTGTAAAAATGTTTTTCATAAATGTCAATAGTTGCAAACAGAAATTTATCCACAATTCTTATATGAATAGATTAAAACAGGTCAATAGTATGTTCATTAGTGCCAATAAATAATTTGGGCAATAGTCTGCAAGAAAAAAATAGGAAAAAATGCTATATTTTGATAGTTTTGTTGGGATATTTAAAGAATAATACAATTCACTGCGCGTTTTGTATATTGGCACAAATGGAAATCATCTGAATCTATTGTGTAATATGTCTAGTCATGAAGAATGTGAAATGTTTTGGAATGAGTATATGTAACAAATATAGTTCGACGAGCTGATATTAGCATTCTTTATGTCAGTACAGTTCTAACGTGTCTGCACGTGCGGTTTTAAAACCAGGTTTCAGCTCTCTCTGAGCCAACATCACCAGCTGACCAGCAGATGCCTCCTGGCCCATCACAGAACTTGCCAAAACGTAAAAGCCGGCACCGTTGCACATCTCCGCCCCCTCCCCATGAATTCCGAGCCTATCAGCTGTATACCCTTTACCGTGGGAAAGATGGGAAAATCATGCAGGTAAACTAAGCAGTTTCCCATTGGAGCAGTATATGAATGTATCTGTAACTTGGAGAAATGCAAGGAAAGGATTTATAAGGAAATTCCGTAGACTTCTAGGTTTAATTATTTTTATCTGTTCTTTTGACCAGCATGCCTCCATGCTTAAATGATTGAGATTTCTCAATTAGCTCGGTTTGCAAGCATAAAAGAGGCAATATTCAAGAAGAATTGGAATTTGCAAGCACACATTGGAAGATTTTAAATTTTCTAATGGCATTTTTAGAGAAATTAGGTGAAGAAATAATAAATTTATATTTCCATTATCAAATGATTAATATTAATACTTGCTGCTTTGCTGTTTAGACTTTTACAAAAATAACTGTATATAGTTTTTATACAGCATGCTGTACAGCTCCGTAACGGCATAAATTCCAAAGCGGTTTACAACACTGTCATAAAAACAATTAAACAAAATCCAAGATAAACACTAATATACAACAAATAGCAATGGTCCAAACGTCATATAGCCAAATTTAAAAAATTTGAGTGTCACCACAGAAAAGGCCTGTCTTTATGTTGCTACCTGATGGAAATCTTAGGCAATGACATGGGCAGCAGTGACTCCCCTGAAGAACATAATCGCTGCGGAGATTTGCAGTGTGGAGCATTCCTTCAAGTAACCTAATCCTGAGTTTTAGACTTTGTATACAAGACCAAAACTTGGCTCAGTAGCTGACTGGATATCCTCTCACACAAATGTGCTTTGTGTGAGATAAGGCACTTGGGTCAGTAAGTGAGGGACTACATTCTGCACTAACAGCGGCTTCTCGAGCAGATTTAAGGGCACTCCCATGTAGAATGTATTACAGTAACCCTGTCTACAGGTTACCCCTTTCCAGGACTGGGTAACTAGCAGTTAATTTGGCAGGAGGCAGTCTTTGTCACAGAGACTCCTTTAGCCCCCAGTGATCCAGGATTACACCAAATTACAAAGCTTTCTCTTCCGCATTCCTAGCTAGAATTCCTAAACTCTCCTCAGTTTCTGGACCTAGAAACCCCTCATCCATGCTTCTATGAGACTGAAGAGATGAGATGTTTCATTGAAACAAAATTAATAAGGCATCACAGAGACTTAATCAAAACTGTATTACTGCAAAGAGGATATGTAGATATCCCTTAATCTTTCTTAGGTATGAAATGCTGGAGAAACTGTAGTCTGTTTTAGACCGCAGGTCTCGGACGATCACCACCTCCCTAGCAGCACTCGGGAATATGTGAAGCTTTAGTTCGGCTGTGAACTCATTCTTACAGCAGCAACTCTAGCAAGTTCAAATTAGTGGTAGTAGTCTTTGTTTTACTACTTACCATTTTCACTCTATGCATTAAATATAAAGGATAGACTGCAAAATCATAAATCTAGGCCAGGGGTGGGTAACACAGGCTGCATGCTTCCCCCAGACGTCCAAAAGAATCCACCAGTACTCTTGTGGCTCCTTAGCACCAGCACCCTCCCGTTTTAAACATCTTTCTTTCTTTCTTTCTTTCTTTCTTTCTTTCTTTCTTTCTTTCTTTCTTTCTTTCTTTCTTTCTTTCTGGAAAAAAATAGTCTTGAATTCCCTTTGTGGCCTCTAGATGGACAATTTTGCTATGCTTTGAGGGCCATCACCAACCCTGGATCCCTTACTGCCAGTTTTTGTTAAATATATATTCTCAACAATTAGAAGCTTTTTCAGTTTATATATATATATAAAATGGGAATTGCAGGACTGCGAATGGACCTCTAAGAACCAGGAATGAGCATATGTGGCGTCTGGACCTCTGGAGTTTGCCTGTCCTGGTCTAGACCCATCTATTTGTTTATGCTTTCATATAGATAATCTGCATATATATTGTTTTCCCACTGTAGGCTTGAAGCAATGGCATTGCTATGTGTGCCCTAGCTGGAGTTGATGTTAAAGAGCAAAGGCTGTGTTCTCACAGTTGCACTTTCCCCCCCTCCAGGCACCAATAAATGGATGTCGTTGTGAGCCACTGATAAATAAAGTAGAGAACCAGCTTGCGGCTGCCGTGGAAGAAATTAAAGCTGAATTTGTAACAGTGCAGGATAAAATGAACAGCAAGCTAGGACAGATGGAAAATAAAACTCAGCATCAGGTAAGGGCACATCCTGGAGACAAAGTGTAAACATCAGATCCATGAGTAAAACCATGGTAGACTGACAGGTCATCTATTTATTATAATTGTCATGTGGAAGCTGCTTGCATTTTAGGTGATAAGTAGTTGTATACATGGTACAGTTGCCATAGAGCAACTGTATAATGAAAATCACTTACTGCAGCTCAGCATCCCTAGTATGATTAGTATGACTTTGGAATCTGCCTGAATTTATTGCTATAAAGTAAACATTGGAAAGAAATGGCTTGGAAAGGGATAAGATTTGAAAGTACATGAGTACTCCTTGATTACTGAAACTTACTCAGTCAATCTTGTTTGCTGTTTCATTCTCTAGAGCAGTTTTGAAATGTTGGTCCTCTAGATGTTGATGGATTACATTTCCCATAATCTCTATTGCCTGTGTGGACTAGGGCTGATGGTTCAAGTCCAGCAATATTTAGAGGGCCAAAAGGTCCCCACCCCTGCTCTTCACATGTGCTGGCAGCTGAATGGAATAAACTTCTGCTCTAGGTCCCAAAAAAGAGTAGCTGTGTTTCAACATGTTGACAAAATTGAAGAGGAGAGTGGAAAAAGACGACACAAAGAATGACATGTTGTAGCACCTGAAAGACTAACATGTTTGTTTCAATGCGAGCTTCCATAAATCAAAATCCACATCTTCAAACACATGGGGACGTAGTGCTCCCTGTTTATTGATTTGGATCCCCAAAAGGTCACACTGAAACGATTTTGTCAGTCTTTGAGGTGTCACAACCCTTTGCCCTTTCTCTTTTGCTCATCCCATCCCCTTTTTTTTCCTTTTAATTATGTCAACAATTCAAAATATATACATTTTTTAAAGCACGGAAGTAGTTTTTATTCATGGTTGTTGTGGGTTTTTCGGGGTCTTTGGCCGTGTTCTGAAAGTTGTTCTTCCTAATGTTTCGCCAGTCTCTGTGGCTGGCATCTTCAGAGGACAGTTTTTATTCATATTGGTTCAAAAAATGTATTTTTAGATCTAGTGTCCAGTGTATGGGAAGTCAGGCACAATGAAGAACAGGAGTTAAGGGAGATTTAGGAGCCGCCTAGAGTGGTCGAAATGACTAGATAGGCGGGGTATAAATAAATAAATAAATAAAT